AGGTTTCTAAAAATATAAAATGGTACTTTTTTCTAATGACAAACTTACAGCAAGGGCCTTCGCAGAATCTCCCTCAGTCAATATCAAGGTACACTTCTCCGAGTTCCTTCCACCTGCATCATTGGCATCTTCTAGCTTCACAATTCCACGAAGCCTCTGAGTCTTGGTCCCATCGGATTTTTTAAGATCTTTGCTTTGCTTAAAATCTGCCCACGATAGGAGGGTGTCCACTATACCGGAATTTGCCACTGCAAATAATGCAACATGTAAGTATAAAACATCAATTCTTTTGGTTGGACTATGTTGATTATTGGGAACAACATACCTTCCTTCAGCATCGACTCGGGAACATCACATTTTGAACCAAAACTAGTCTGTCTGGTTGTCAGAGTTTCCTTAGTTTGAGAATCAAAGGCAGGATTGTCAATAAGTGCATTGACAAAGACCCACAAATGATTCTTCACGTTGTGAGCTTTCACACTGGCATCCTTTTTCTTCTTATTTACTTTACTCATGACAAAGTTTGTAATCTGATTGGTGACGTAATCAACATGAGTCCCACCCTTGATTGTAGCAATGGAATTAACAAAGCTGACCTGGTAAGAACAAATAAACAGTGTATAAGACAAAAAGATAACATCAATGGACTACAAAGTAGTAGGAACTTTGCTTCAGAAGCTGACTAGTCACCTGTTGAAACTGGCCATCACTTAGACTCACGCAAATCTCCCACCTTTCACCTACTTTTGCATGAATTCTATAGACAACAACAAAACTAAGTTAGCACAGCAAATACAAGAAAGGAGAAAAAACACGGGCACCTCAAACTGAATCTCATTAGACACAAACCTTGGAAGTGGGACTGGTTTGGATTTCTCTGCTGATTTGAGGTAAAGATCAGCATAATCCCGAAATGATTTCATACGGATCACCTGTCCGTTGAGTTCAACCTTAACTGTCTTTCCAAGGCACCCAGCCATGTCCAACACCCGCTTTTTCATCAAAGCCACAACGTCTTCTTCAAGATGGTCCATCTTAAACTTTGCCAAGTCAGGCTTGAAGGTTACTTTGGTCCAGTTCTCACCAGCTTTGCATTTTGTTATCACCGGCTCAGACTTCTTCCCCATGTTATTGGAGAAAACCTTTCCACCACAACCAATCGATCCCATCAGCAACCCCCACGAAATAGAAATTACCATATCCAGATTCATATAGCAATTTCCACTCAAAAACATGAAAATTTGCATTCCCCAAAACATTGTAGAAAGAAATATTAATCATAGTATGACAAAAACCGCAGAATCCTAAATCAACAAATTTATCTCCAATGCAAGTAAAAAGAAAAAAAAAACAGCTTCAGATACCAAAACATGAATTTACAAATTTTCTCTAATTCAATTAAAAGTGTAAAAATCATTCAGAATTAAACATTTATTAAGTAGATAGATTTATTCGCAGAAACCAAAATCACTCGAAAACATTAGCCCTCCCCAAATTGAAAAAAGAATAATATTCTAATCCAACGTAGAACCCAACGAAATGTCACTTAAGCAACACAATCACTCGAATCATTATAAAACAAAAGTTTCGGAACCTGAAACCGTAACTTGTTCAATTAAGAATGAGACTCAGACAAACGGAGAGAAAATTGAAGGGCTGAAAATAAGACCTGCTTATACTTCTTCTGGCGCTTTCCGTCAGCGGTTTCGATGACGAACTCAGTGGAGAAGATATTGGTGAGCTTGGCGCCGTATCCGTTGCGTCCACCGGTAGTCTTCTTGACGTTATCGTCGTAGTTGCTGCTAGTGAGCAAGTGGCCGAAGATGAGTTCGGGGACGTAGACTTTCTCCTCCTGGTGGATCTCGACGGGTACGCCGTCACCGCTGTTGAAGACGGAGACGGTGTTCTGCTCGGGGTCGATGGTGACCTTGAGGGCGTCCATGGAGGGGTCTCGCTGCTTGTTGTCGGCGGCATTGACGAGGATCTCGTCGAAGATCTTGTAGAGGCCAGGGACGTAGGATATAGGTCGTAGAACCATTTCGTTGTTCTCGTACACCCACAGGGTCTGCGTGTGCTTCTCGATGGACCCCACATAGGTGTCCGGTCGGAGCAGGATGTGTTCGAGCTGCGTCTTCTTCTGGTAGACTTCTTCGATGGTCTTCCCACCTGCGGCAGCCACGTTGGCGGCGCTGCTGCTCTGGAGGGGGCGCTTTGTCTGGGGCTCCATGACACGGAGGGAGTGTCTATAGAGAGAGAGAGATGAAGGAGATGGAATGATGCAAATGTCTTGACCATGGAAATGAGGGCTTTAAATGGAACTTGGAGCAACGGTCCATTGGAATTTGAATTTGAAATCTTCGGGTTTCGTTTTGAGCGGGACTTTCACACTCGTGGTATTCATATTCTTCCTTCCTATAAGAATTTAAAAAATAAAAAATAAAATACAAAGTGGTAGAAAAAATATTCAGTATTGTGAGTATTAAATTAACCAATATAAACACCTTCTAGGGGTAATGTTTAAAATAATTTATCAAAGAATAATTTGGTTTAATTAGAAAACTCAGAAGAAACTTGTATAATTAAGCTTGGAGAAACTGATAAAAAAAAATTAGTCATAAAGCTTTTGGAATAATACTCATGTTACAAGTTAAGAATAATAATAATAATAAATATTCATGTTTGCAATATTATGTATTAGTAAAACTTAATCAATTTGATGTATTATCTAATTGAAACAAATCAATATAAAATTATTTATATTTATCTCTTTTTCCTTAATTAATTTTATATAATCTTAAGTTGTGATTAAGGTTTTTATTTTAAAAAAAGTTTTTTATTATTTAAAATTTTCTATCATTTCACTCAAATAACAAATGTAATATAATATATATATATATATATATATATATATATAATATACATATTTTTTAATATATAAATTATCTGTAGATGATGAAATCATTGTAAATGTATAATTTATAATATATTTTAGATTATAATATAAATTTATTTAAAAAATAAATTCAATATATATAATTAAAAGAGATAAATAATAAAAAATATAACAAAATTTGAATTATATATATATATATATATATATATATAAAGAATCAATATCATAAATAATATATTTTCCTCTTTATTTTTTTTCCTTTTTCTCTTTCTTCCTCTTTTCTTTTTCTTCTTTCATTCCATCCTATTTTTCTAATTAGAAATACTATTTTGAAATTTGATAAAATTGATATTTTATTATTTTTGAAAAATAAAAATATTTAAATTATCTAAAAATATTATAATTTAATATCTTATATTAAAAAATATTATTTAATAAATTTAACATATTATAAATATTATTATTATGTTATAATTACTAAAATACGTAAATATTTAATTTAAGATAATTTAACTATATTAAATTATTAAATAAAAAATACATTTAACTCATAAATATTTAATATATATTTTAAATTAATTATTTGCGGTAGCGTAAATAAAATTATTTACTATCGTTATATTTTTAAAATTTTACTTTAATATAAAAGTTTTAATAAGTAGAATAAGTAGAAAAGTAGAGAAAAATAAAACAAAAGAAATGAGACAGAAAAAAATAAATAAAGAATGAATGTCAAAAGGAAAAAAAAAGGAAAGGAAAACTATATACAAATAATAGAAAAATATAATTAAACAAATAAATTAATAAAAAATTTATGTAAATAATTTGTTTAAAATATACTATTTATAGGCTTAATTCGTTGAACTTTATTCACAAGTATATTTTCTTCAAATTTAATTTATTGAAATTCCCGATTATGCAAATTATTGAAATATAATTTTAAATTTAATTGGATAAATAATATCCATATTACTAATCTTATATATTGAATCGTCAATTTAATTTCTTTTAAATTTCTTATAACTCTCAAAAACATTGTTAATATTGATTTCAAATATGATTAATTGAATAATTATTTTGAAAACTTTATTTTTCGATCATCTCAAACTACGTTTATGTATTTTTATATTCTTTTAAGGACATATATATTTCAATTTAATTTTTCAACTATATTTTTAAATTAAATCAACAAACAGTTAAAAATAATGTTTTATTACAATTATTTACCATGAATCTAAAATATAATTTATATATTTAAAAATATTTTTATTTACAAATTTAAAATAATATATTAAACATAATAAATATATGACGCACTCTCCTTTCATAATCTACCAAAGAACAAAATTGTAAGACACTAAAATATAAAAATCGACAATAACTCAAACTCTTACGCAAAAAATTACTCATTGATCATGATTTTTTAATTATATAAAATTGAACGATTATCTTTTATGTTTTCGCAAAACATCCAAGTTTAGATTAATATGAATTTTTCAAACATTTATAAAGTTGTTTTTATGTATTCTCATTAATCAAATGAAAAACATTTATATTCTTGTTATCTCATGCGTTAGGACGTTGCTAAATTCGGAAATTGGGTTCATATCATACGAACATCTTCATGCACAATCTCCTTAACGTTATCATGTCAATTTCTACAAATCCATGGTTAAACTCAACAAACCATGATCCTAATTATTGAATATAATAAGATGATCTGAAAAAGATTGAGTTTCAAACTATGCAGCAACATAATCTGAAATTGACATAAGAGTCACTAATGTGCATAATAAATGTCAATCATTAGGAACAACGTCAAGTTTCTAGAATAATATAAACATTTTGAAACTGAAACATGAGATGCTATTTCCACCTACGTATCTTAACAAGGAAAGAACTTTCACCAATAATCTCAACACATGATTAATCTATTTTCATACACACAAACCTTAACCATGGTTTCAACTTTTTCTTGTTGCAGTATAACTTCAACACTTCAAATCAATAGTAACCCCACAACCATCAATAGTAAGTTCATGTGGACACGTGAAAAACAGCCACTTATGTATGTTTTAGTTACCTTAATTCATGAGAATGGGTATATATGCAAACCCCAACCTTTCTCACATACTTGCACAGCTTCCATTCACCAACCATGGAAGCTAGTACTGGACTTTTTGCTGGTACTCCAAACAGCAATGAGCTTGTGGCCATTCAAGGACATGATGAGGTAACTAACCATATAGAAACAAGGGAAAGAATAACTTTTTTTTTTTAAGTATAACATGGTGACATTTTCTGTGTTTGAATAACATATACCAAACAAAATTTGTTGCAGCCTAAGCCTGTGAAGAACTTAGATGGTCAGCTCTGTGAGATATGTGGTGATTCTGTGGGCGTTACGGTGGAAGGAGACTTATTTGTTGCTTGTGAAGAGTGTGGTTTCCCTGTGTGCAGACCATGCTATGAGTATGAGAGAAGGGAAGGGAATCAAGTTTGTCCTCAGTGTCATACAAGATACAAGCGCATCAAAGGTAATTGGAAATTAAGGTACCATAGTGTACATCTTTAAAGGTTCTATTTTGTAGCTTATGTTCTGATTGATATTTCTTGATGTGCAAAGGAAGTCCAAGAGTGGAGGGAGATGAGGATGAAGACGATGTGGATGATATTGAACATGAATTCAAACATGAAGAGATGCAGAAAGGGAACATGATCCATGGAGATGATGGCAATTCTAAATCAAAAGCGGTAGGGAACATGATATACAAGCATGCATTTACTGTATAAATGTATAAAGTAACAACTTTGAAATTTTCATTTTTATTTTGGTTGAACTATTTATTTCTGCAGTAGTTTAGATTAATTGTATACAACATGCAGGTTAATGGGGAGCTGCTTTCCACCAGTTTGGGAGAACCTGGTATGTTTTTGGCCTTCTCCTTCAGCAGTTGATATAAATCAAACCAAACCTTACATATAATTTTGTCTGATACACTATTGTTCCAACTCATTTATTTCCCCTAAGTTTGAAATTTGATATCATGGAACTTATTGAGGATCGATAAAGAGAAATAGAATGAAACCAAGGCACTTATCATAATTAGCATATCTTCATAAGCAGGTGCAAAGTTGGATGACAAGGAGGAAATAGATGAGTGGAGGTTGCACCAAGGGAATGTATGGCCTGAAACTGATTCCTCAGTTGATCCTGAAAAGGCCATGTAAGCACCACAATACTCTTTCATATTTAGAAACCTTGTGATTCTACTATAATATAACATGATGTGATATAACATGATGCAGGAAAGAGCCACTGTCAAGGAAAGTAGCAATACCATCAGGCAAACTCAGTCCTTACAGAATGATGGTTGTGGCTAGACTTCTCCTTCTATTACTCTTCTTTCAGTACAGAATCTTCCACCCAGTTCCCGATGCAGTTGGACTATGGTTCATATCTGTGACATGTGAAATCTGGCTTGCATTATCCTGGATGATTGATCAGATTCCCAAATGGTTCCCCATTGATCGTGAGACATATCTTGATCGTCTTTCAATCAGGTCAACTGTTCTGAATTCCTCTGCAGTCGTGATCCAAATGGAACTAGTTTTCATTTTAATGTAACTTCTAAGAGCAAGACTTGGCACAAAGTAACCAATATTACAAAATAAACTTGCGCAATTATAGTAATTGAGTCAGGATATAATACAAAGTTCATGGCACTTTATTTCTTTATTCACATTTCTTAAGAATACAACGACATTGATATGATTGATCCTGCTTTTTATAAGAGTTGGAATCTAAATTGATAAGCTAAGTGTCTTGAACTTTTGCAGGTTTGAACCGGAGAACAAGCCCAATATGCTTTCTCCAATAGATATCATTGTCACTACTGTGGATCCAATCAAGGAACCTCCTCTTGTGACAGCCAACACTGTTCTTTCAATCTTGGCCCTGGATTACCCTGCTGACAAAATCTCATGCTACGTTTCTGATGATGGAGCTTCCATGCTTACCTTTGAAGCTCTTCAAGAAACAGCTGAGTTTTCCAGAAAGTGGGTACCTTTCTGCAAAAAATTCTCCGTAGAACCAAGAGCACCAGAAAAGTACTTCTCCGAGAAAATAGATTTTCTAAAGGATAAGCTTCAATCCACCTATGTAAAAGAACGTCGTACTATGAAGGTTAGCATTAATCATCCTAAACTTAATTCCTTGTTATTAAGATAAGATTTTAAATTTTCTCTACCATTTTTTAATTTGGTCCCTACATGAATAAAAAGAGAGTATATATTACATGAAAATATGCTAATGAATTAGTCTCTACCCAAGGATTGATTACTTATATAAGCTTGTCATACTCATATATGGTCTTTATGTAATCACATGCTAAGGTTCCAAACTTTGCAAAGTTAACAATCTATTAACAATGTTATAGTTCAAGTTTAGTCACTACTAATTGCCTTAGTTTTAAGTTATAATTGGGAAAAATAGTAGTGACTAAATTCAAAAATGGCTAAATATAGGGTAGTACTAACTTTTATGTTGACAATTAAACTATTGATTTATACTAGTTCAATGTAAAGAACAAAAGTTTCATTGCTTGTTGGATACTTACTTGACAGAGAGAATATGAAGAATTTAAGGTGAGAATAAATGCACTAGTGGCTAAATCCATGCGAGTTCCCCCAGAAGGGTGGACCATGAAAGATGAGACACCATGGCCAGGAAACAACCCCAACGACCATCCAAGTATGATACAAGTCCTTCTTCCTCACAATGTAGGTAATGAACTTCCTTGTCTTCTCTACACATCTCGTGAGAAAAGGCCTGCATTTCAACACCACAGCAAAACTGGCGCCATCAACGCCTTGGTAAGCATTTCAAGCACCATAATTTCTCAAGATTACATTTTCTCATTCTCTTGACATGAAGCTAAACACGAGCTTTCTTTTTTGGCCTAAATGTTGCTGCTGAATTTCTAGCTTCGCGTATCAGCAGTGTTGAGCAATGCTCCTTTTGTGCTCAACTTGGATTGCAATCATTATGTAAATAACAGCAAAGTCGTGCGAGAGGCCATGTGTTTCTTTATGGACATACAACTTGGGAATGGCATTGGCTTTGTACAGTTTCCACTAAGATTTGACAGCCTAGATAGAAATGATCGTTATGCCAACAAAAACACCGTTCTATTTGATGTGAGTGCAACAGTTTTGCCACTGAATTCATTCTCATTCTGTCACCCTTTCTTGCGTTTCTAAATTCATTTATTTCCTTCATTGTGAGTAGAATTTGTTATGGTACACTTTGTGTTTGTTTTTCTGCAGATTAACTTGAGGTGCCTAGATGGAATTCAAGGACCTGTTTATGTTGGTTCAGCATGTATCTTCAGAAGGAAAGCCTTAACTGGCTTTGACTCACCAACGTCTTCAAAACGCCCAAGCATGGTGCAAGTACACTCAAAACAGGATGAGAATGGAGAAGAAGCTAGCGTAACAGGTGATCACAATCCTCTATATTTATCAGAAACACACAGAAGAAGCATTTTTCTTATCTCCTTTTATCTCAAAACTACTCTTCTTTTGCAGCAGCAACAGATGAGGAAAAGGAGCTATTGAAGTCACAGATGAATGATGAAAATAAATTTGGGAAGTCCACACTCTTCATGAACTCTTCATTAACAGAAGAAGGTGGTGTTGATCCTTCTTCCAGTCAGGAAGTCCTGCTTAAAGAAGCCATTCATGTAATGAGTTCTAGATATGAAGACAGAACTCTCTGGGGAGATGAGGTATTACTGAAAGTTCTTTTCCATGTCCGTCTCAGCATGCATATCACATATTTTAAAATTCTGAAGGCAGACCAAAAGCTTATAAAATTAATACAAAATGCAAATTTTAAATCCAAACTGGAATGAATATATTTTTCAAAAAGAGTTAAACCGATATGTAATGCATACATAAAAGTTTCAACACTTCCAATCAGTCTCAAATTATATTTGATACAACATGTAAGACAGTAATTATAAAAGTCGTCAAATTTATCTGTTAATTGTAATTTATTAAATGATAAGACAAAAACCTTTTACACTGTCAGAGGCATTATCTAATTGTCATCATCACTATTCATATTTATCATTGTACAGAAGTTGAAGAAAATTAAACGGTATAATAAGAAGTATTAGAAATGGTAGATAAAAGAGTAGAAACATTTTTGGATGCGCAGGTGGGTTTAAGCTATGGATCTATAGCAGCAGATACTCTGACAAGTTTGAAGATGCATTGTCATGGTTGGAGGTCTGTATATTGCATGCCAAAAAGAGATCCATTCAGGGGTACAGCTCCCATCAACCTCACAGATAGACTCAACCAGGTGCTGAGATGGGCAGTGGGATCACTTCAGATTCTATTCAGCCGCCATTGCCCTCTTCTGTATGGCCTCAATGGTGGAAGACTCAAGGGACTCCAACGAATTGCCTATGTTAATAGCACTGTCTACCCCTTCAGCTCAATACCTCTCCTAATATATTGTATCATTCCTGCTATATGCTTGCTCACAGATAAATTCATCACACCATCGGTATTAAGTATTTCCTTTTCCTTATTATTATTATTATTACTCTCATGCATTCTTGTAAATTTGACTAGAAGTATAGAAACATAAATCTAATTTCTTTACTCTAGTTTTCATTGATTGATGAAGAGTCACTGATTTCCAGGTAGGCACTTTTGCAAGTCTAATCTTCATCTCATTGTTCATCTCTATCTTTGCCTCGGCCATTCTTGAATTGAGATGGAGTGGAGTTAGCCTTGAGGAATGGTGGAGAAGCCAGCAATTCTGGGTGATTGGCAGTGTGTCTGCAAACCTCTTTGCGGTTATGCAAGGCATTATGGGAGCCCTGCCACTGGGTAGAGTCAACACAAACTTCAGCATTGTCTCAAAGGCACCAGATGATGTAGAGTTTCGTGAACTCTATGCCATTAGATGGACTGCACTTCTAATACCCCCAACCACCATCATCATAATCAACCTCATTGGTATTGTGGCTGGCTTCACAGATTCCATAAACAGTGGTGAACATTCTTGGGGAGCACTGCTTGGGAAACTCTTCTTCTCTTTATGGGTTATTGTCCATATGTACCCTTTCCTTAAAGGTCTAATGGGTAGGCAGAACAGAACACCAACTCTTATTGTCATATGGTCTGTGCTTTTGGCTTCCATCTTCTCCTTGGTTTGGGTGAGAGTTGACCCTTTTGTATTGAAAACAAAGGGGCCTGATGTCAAGCAATGTGGAATCAGTTGCTGATTCTACATCTCAACATGCATATCATATATTTACAAGTATGAAGCTTGAAACAACAACCTAGGTTCACAGAGATTAATAATGGTAGAGCAAAATTTTGTGATACAAAAAAAATTGCACCATGTTCATTCCTTTCTTTTTTTGCTTTTTCATTAAATGAAGAAAACGAGAGCAGTGTACTTAATTTTGCTAATTGAAACAGCAGTGTTGCTAAGAATTCTTTTTGTGGCTGCACATGAGATCCAAACTTCATCATCATGAACCAACTTTAGAAAAATCTTGAGCATATGAATGCTCTTTTACTATAATTAAAAAGTTCTAAACCAGCTATTGTAAAAGTTTTGACACAGCAATATTGTTGGTAAAATTAACATAGTGATATTTTTATGTTAAAAGTACTGATATCATCATCGATTATTTCTCCTAATAGTAGTCTAAGCTTCTTCTTGATTATTTTCAATTTTGAAGAGCTTGAAAAAGAAGATCAGTTCATTGATTTTAACAACTAATCTATATGAACATGAATATGAATATCTGATTTAAGGTGTTAAGTTGACTATTTTCTATGTATAAATCTTTATATGAGCATAGACGTAATGGTAAATTGAGCCAAAACCACTCATCCTACTCTATTCAATCTCCCAACTCGTTATTCTTAAATTTATTTTGTCATAAATGTTATTGACGTCACGACTCTGGTTAAATTGGTTTGAGAGGGGAGCATGAATTACACACAGTGCTAGACAACAAAGAAACAACAAAAGAATGTAGAAGAAAGAGTGAAGAGACTTCCTATTCCTATTCTACAATTGAAACCAAATATATTTATTCTGGGATTGTAACCAAACAAATCTATTCTAGGATTAAAATCGAACAAGCCATGTGTCTTGATGATGTAGATCCAGTTTTAAAAAGTTAATAATTCAACAAATAAACCAGATAATTGAAAGAATGGAAGATTTTTCATAGATCAAATCTCATTAAAAGAGACAATCGAATTAAATGTTGTCATTGATTCTTATGTACTGATGTCACAAATATAGTGCATACTTGACTTCACATTAGATCTAATCAAACACAAATTCATAATCCACATTCAAATTAAAACTAGTTTGAATAGTTTCCATTTGTTTTCCATATGAAACATCTATCCAAGGTTTCAGATGTGAAACCAACCACATGTTAAAGACAAATTCCTAACCTTCTATAAGTGATTATAATTTTCTATAACTAATTATAATTCAAAAGTAACACTTACATTAGATTCCTTCCATGTACTTTATAAGATCTTTCAAATTTAACTGATATAACCTTTAATGACTTCAACCATAAAAAATAAAAAGAACATTAAAACTGGTCCCAATTCAAACTTTACAAGAACGAAAAATAGTTTATCTTTCATCTTCTTGCAATTATAGATAATAAATACTCAAGGGATTGCAAAAATCTAACTAATACATGTTTTAGTATAAGTAGAATGGAAGGAACTCATTTTTAGACAACAGGGAACACTATGACTTGATCAATAACAGGACCACAAAGAGAACCATAGTCATCAATTCTGGTATGGTAGAAGGAGCTGTAGAAAGTGAGTCTGGTTCTGAGTGCAATAGCTTTGAACTTGAAACTCACAGTCCTGAATGTTCCCTTCCCTTCAGATTTGAAGGGAACTTTGAAGGTATCTTTAGCAGCAAATGCTTCAACCATCATGGATCCATGGCACCCATTTTTGGCATCTCCAACTGAAAATGTGATGTTGTAGACTTTGTTGGTAACTGTTCTGATGACCTGGGCAATGGCACTTTCCCTGCCTGCCACAAGCTCCACTGCTCCCAGCCCAAATGGGACATTGAAATGCTTTGAATCAATAAACTTCACAGCCTTGAGGGACTCAATGATCCAACCAGGGAGTGGGGAGAACCCATCTTGTTGTTGAGGAGGGAGCAAAACACCGTTGGTAGAGTTGAAAATGGGGAATGGACCCTCCTCAAAACCAGGATTTTTTACCAAGTTAACTGCAAGATAACATATAATGATTTTATCACAAAAATTCAAGTTGTATTGTCGACATTCTAATATATGGTTTAGTAAAATCAGATAGTTCATATTCCACATCTAAATAATAGTAATTTATATTTTCACACCCCATTTTGTAAATTGAGTTTCTCTCTCCTCCTTGTTACCACAAAAGATGAGGGTGCAAAGGTAATGGGAAAAAACAATTAGATGTGGGGAAAAAAAATTGTGTGTAATGTACTATCAGGCTCCATCCATGTGCCTGGCAAAGGTAAAGATCTAATTATCATCTATTCTATAAATGTCACTACTTATTTATTTTCGACAAAATATGGACCAAGTAGGGACACTGGAAATGTGATGGCATCATTAGAGACTAAAGAGCATGGAAGAACTAGTCATCCGGAAACTCAGAAAATGGATTAATTCATGGATTCCTACAACTTTCAGATGCGTTAAAACTGCAGAAAGATATACATTTCATATGGATTTGAAATTGTAACATGTATTCAAAGACAAGCAAGATTCCCATAACATACCGAAGAAGTATTTGATCAAATTCAAATGATAGGCTCTAAGAGTAGAGTAGCATAGCATGGTCTGTGTTTCTTTACCTCTTGTAGGCCTTGGAGGGTAGAACTCCCTGATAGCAATGGCATCCAAAAGTGGGCCACAAGCTGGATCTTCTTGAACTCCAGGGTTGTGGAAAGTCACTTTGACGGCGTTAGTAGTGGCCTTAAACCCCCAAGCAATAACATCACCATTGAGGTTATAAATGGTCTGCAAAGGAACATCACCGGTCTGTGGAGGCACAGAGATTCTCAAAACTTCATCTTGTGCACAAGTCCTCGAGGCCCCAAGAATTAGAGCATACAGTTGACCCGGTTTGACCTTAATGGTTTGGGAGATTGAGGCCTCATTGCCAAGTCTCACAGCATGGATTCCATGAGTAACTGGGAAGAACATGCCTCCAGGTTGGGGCCCCCCAGAGACATACTCAACCAGACCATTGATCTCCCATTTGGGCAAAGCAAATTTCCCCACGAGCTTTGTTTTCTTGAGGTATTTGGGGTTGGGCTGCTCCTCAAAGTTGCCATTTTGAAGGTAAGCTATGGAGTTAAAAAATAACAAAGGAAAAAAAAAAACAACTTCAGAATCAGTGTCACTAAGTGCACATTATCAGATCCATATGTCTAAAACCAGACACTGGTGAGATACTGTATTCACTCATCATTTGAATTAAAATATTTCATAAAGTTGGCAGTGTTCTTACTAGAAAGTTTCTCAAAGGAGTTAAATCTCAACGTAATGTACAGATCTAAAGGCTAGCCCACAAAAATGTACAAGCAAGTAACCCATAGAGCCATTCCATCAAGCAATCAGAGTAAGAGTGGACAATGCAGAACAAGGGTTTGAAGTAAAAATAGACAAAGCGAGCATGAACTCAAGTTCAACAAGAAACAGATCAAGTGTTTTCTGATGTGTTTCCTTTTCACATTCCTATGTATGTAAATGAAGGGGTCTCAGATTTTAGCAAAATACCTTCTGGTACTCTAGGCTCAAGGGCAGCAAAAGCTGAAGCAGCACAGAGCAAAGCCAAAAACACTGATGAAGTAAGAGTTGGTGCCATTTTTAGTGAGAAACTGAGACTAGGAAAAGAGAGGGGAACAGGGTTTGCGCGTTGCTCCGAGAGAGCAGGACTTGGTGTGGAAGAGAAGTAGATGAAGCTTCACTCCTTTTTATAGTGGAAAGAGAAAATAGCCAGGGGCATAGTAATAGCAAAAATCACGTAGAAAAGTGCACTAGGAGGAACACACACATGATTTGTCTTTAAAGTTTTGATTTTTTTTCTCCACCCGGTTTTTTCTCCACAATTCATGCTGTGGAAACCTTTGAATTGATGTTACAATTTCTTCTTAGTTAGACAAAAGCAAAAACAGTGTGTAATTTAATATATATATATATATATATATATATATATATATATATATATATATATATATAAAGTTGTCATATTCATACAATAATTTAACAAAAACTAGACAGAACAGAACCTGTGCATGCTTTCTACTATTTTTCACGGAAAGTTTCTCTGATTCAAAGCATAATGCTGTAAAACATATCATGTTTTGTTAACAAATTTGGTTTTATCTTATGATGTCGGTGCTCATATTTTTTAATCCTTTTGAAGTTTCAATCTCTAGGATTAGAATCCGAAATTGTATGAGTATACTTCTAGATCCATCCTTTCTAGTTTTTCTTGGTTTTATAATTGGGTTAATTTGTTTTTTTCTTATCATTGCTGACTTTTTTTTTTCTGTTTTTTGATCCACATGATGTGCTTGGTTTTTTGTTAGAAACTCTTAATTTATGATTGGATAAAATATAAAATAACTTGTCCAATATTTTAGGACTTTTGTACTAATTTACTATGACTAACTATTTATAACATATAAATTCTGACGAATAAATTATAACATTATTATTATTATTATTATTATTATTTATTATTATTTAGTTGTATAAGGCTTTGTTATATTCAAAATAATTTGAAAAAAAAAAAAAGTCAAGGAAAGTTATTGAAATAAGAAAAGGGATGAAAAGTGGGTTTCATTTCATGTCATTTCAAATTTCTAATTTTAAGTTGAAACCTAGGTCAAGATGGTTTCATGTTCTATTGCTCTCCTTGGGCCACGTGTTGTTTACTTTGTCTTTAAACTTTAAGTAGGTCCATTTTTTCTAAAAAGATTAAAACTTAAAAAAAAAACTTATTTAAGTTCCTTTGTCCAATTTCTTTTATGTAAATGCTGAATTTTCAAAAGAAAAATAAGTATGATATTGAGTATTTAATAATAAAAATGAATTTTTTTTCATTATGATATAAATTATTTGTAGATATGTTCACCATACAAATTAATAAAAGATTATACTTTTTCAAAGGTTTAAATTTAAAAATTATTTTAATTACAATAATTATTTTATTCATC